TCTACTGGTCGTGCTCAATGGTCGTGTTGTGGTAGCTTCACACAGATATCGTGAACGACACATTAGTGCGACACATTTTATTTTAGTGTGTACTCGATTTTTATATTTTGTTATGCCTGAATGGAAAAGTATACGTGTTGATGCTTACAATGAATTTCAAATTGATAGACGTTTACCATCATTATCATTTCTATATTTAATTATAAGCCAATTGGATAATGTCGAATTTCGTTTCAGAAAAACAAAAAAAGTAGTCAACTTGATAGAAGGTAAAATCTCTCTATCTCTAGTTTTTCTAACTTATCTATAATTTACAAACAAAAACACAACAAGAAAACTTTTAAAACGACTATTTTATGTCACACTGATCATGAGCTCATATACGGAGTGTGTAGTTGTTTAATAAAAAACAATTATGAATAGAATAAACGAAATCAATAATTATTAAGTTTTTTTTTATCAACAGTTTAGTAATGGAATTGATTATGATGATGGTGAATTTGATGAAAATAGCTCGTTAAATTTCTATGTTAATCATATAGTGATATTCAGGATGATGCATTGGAAGAAAACTGACCTCAACATGAACGAGATATTATTGTGAAAATGATGGAACATACCCCGCGTTTATGTTGTATTAGTCAAGCAATATTAATTGCTTTAAATCTTGCATTATCTTTTGAAAAAAATGATGTTAATGTTGATGTTGATTATAATGAAAATGAACGTATTGATGCGGAATGGATACCATGTATTCATAATGAATTAAATTTAATGTATTTTGTAAAAACACCTATTTCAGATCGAAATAAATATCAAATAATTTATGTTGAAAGAGATGCATGTGAAATTGGAATTAAAATTATTAATTTTCTTTTACGTCAAGCATTAACATTATTTAACATTAATATGAAAAATAGTGAAGCACTTACAGCTCAAACATCATTGTCACGTATTAGTCTTTCATCAAATAATGATACATTGTTATCTGATAAGTTGATTGTCAAAAATTTTGCTTATTGTATTCTTATCACGTTTAATTATAATTATATAATGAAAGAATGGTTACGAAAAGGTTATCCAACAGGTGGATCAATTGTTGGAGCAAGTCCTGTTCCTTCGAATATGATTAAAAACAATCTAAATTTTGAAAAGCAGTTAGATGAATTAATGCAGGCTGGTTTATTACATTGCTCAAATAAAATGTTAGAAGCTGGGTGGGTGTGAGTGTAGTTGTTTGCTACTTCGACACCCACATCCACACTCTTATTCAAAACTTAATATAATGAAACGAAATTCAAAAAAAATAGAGGAAAGGGTGGGTGTGGGTCAGGGCTGCCAACTGTACCCCATTTTGGGGTACAATACCCCATTTTGTCATTTTGTACCCCAGGAAATTTTGTACCCATGGGGTACACTTTTTGTACCCCATTTAGATATTTGAGCTTTTATTGCTATAAATAAGTCTTTGAATCAAAATCAACTATATTTTCGATACACCTTACATCATCTTTCTAGAGTCATTTGCATAGGATAATATTGATAAATAGTTGAGAAAGGCAAATTAGCAAACATTTTATTCATTTAGTTTTCTCTTAACCTTTTCTGTTTCGCGAGATTGATTTCAATCCCAAAATCCAAATAAAGTTTGACGACTCTTCCACTTTTTGTCTTTGTTTTATTGTTTTTATCAGATCTAACTGACACATAGTATTTAAAAAACTAATTTAGATTTAAGTTTCTACTGAAAGAAAAATAATATCAATTTTCATTGGGATTCCGGCAAAAAAAGCTGAGATTGAAATTTATGAAGAGTCAGAATCAGGAACGATAGCAGTTCCTGAAACATCCTGTAAATCTATTGAAAAAATCGCCTGCAAGTGTCACAGAAAATGTGACGATAAGAGGGACAGCGGACCCGTCACAATCCCTATTTTGAGAAAATACACTCTTTCTCGACAAAAGTCTTTTTTCTTATCGAATAACAGTGTAGAATGAAAATGAATTCTGTATCTTATACTTTTAAAAAATGACAAGTGCACTTTTCAACTTCTTAAAAAATCACTTTTGCACATCTTCCCACGATTGTTTTTCTTGGGTATTTTCTTTCCAAGTGCCCCTAATATGTACTGTTTCGTCCAAAATGTAAAGGTAACGAGGGAACCTCCCGAGCTGTTCCCTTTCCATTTCGATGATTTTTTGTCTGTAAATACTACATAGTGTGCTAGTAAAAATCCTAAAAGAATTTTGATTCCTATTGAGATTTAGCAAAGCTATTGAATTTTTAATATATCTAATCATTTAGGATTCTAGGTCTCAGGAAAAGTTGTATTTTCGAATTTTCATCTGAAACTTTATCCATTTAGAGATCTCCAGTAGACTAGCTTCCATAAAAAAAATTCAGAAGTTTTTGAACAGAGTTACTTCCAGACACAAGACTTTCAAAAAATGTATATTGCATATTCTATTTATGGAAAAGACCTTATATCCAGAAAATTTAACATCT